TTTTTTTTCCTCATCATGATCTCCTCCACATCTTTGTCATCCTCCCAAAATGACTCCTCCTCCTTATCTTCCTCCTCCACATCTTTGTCATCCTCCTCAAATTACTCCTCCTCCTTATCTTCCTCATCCTCATCTTCAGCATTATTATCTTCTTTGTCATCTTCCTCCTTTTCACCATCTTCCTCCTCATTATCTTCATCATGATGAGTGTGACATTACTTGGGGAAAAGTTTCTTTATAAATGATTACAATCTTAATTGTTTTCGTTTTCTTAATTAAAATTATGATTAAAAAAAACATCCGCCCCCCCCCCCCCCCCTTAGCTCTCAACCCGGGCGGCCAAGTTGTTTGTAAAAAAAAAAAGGGGGGGGGAAGGGCGAAGCACCAGCGATACAACGTATTATTGTTTTACTTTTGAACGAATAAGCCACCGGAATTATCTCCCTTACCACAGCTGCTCTCTGCTCATTGACGCAGACATTGGACTCCAGGAAGAGCAAGACTTCGCCCAGATTATCCCAGTCTTTGTACCTCCATTCAGAAGAACTAGAGGACCGATTATCGTCACAGAGCGGCCAATCAAAGAATCAGATATGCTGGAAAAGTTCCCTGGCTTGTTCCGAACTCCAAATGAAGTGATCGATCACCGTGAAAGTGGAAGACTGGATACATCTGTAAGTGTTTATGAATAGCTATCTGCAAAGAACAAAGAAAAATGCCCCCCCCCCCAAAAAAAAAGCAAAAGCAGACATTATTGCTACAGAGCCAACATATCCGACCTAGAGTGCATTTGGCTTTTAAAGCGAAAATTAGATTTCAGAGCCTTCTTTGAGTTCATAGGTAATGAAATTGTGCTCATCTTGGACCAATAAGGCAGAGGCGTAGCTAGGCTGGGGAGGGAGGGGGAGAATTTGAAAATTCCCCCACCAAACCCCACTTAAAGGGGGGGGGGGGCTAAAATGAGTGTTTTTATTACATTAAATATTAAATATTACGCAAAATGCAAGAGCCCGAAAAGAGGTCATGCCCCCTGGCTCTCAAAGAATGACAAATTCCTAGCTACTCCACTGCAACAAGGAGCTATTATTTTTTATTTAAGGGTTAACATAGGTACCAAACTGTATAAGCCACCTTGTTAGCCAATCAATTGATGCCACTCACCCAGCTATACCACATACATAAATATCTAGCTTTTTGGTGTATCCGGAGTACAAAATAAATAAAGTTTTGAGAAACTTTTTTTTTTTTAAGTTCTATGAGCAATGTTTTTTTTTTCTTCCCTTTTTAGCTTTTTCGATGGTAGATTTTAAGTTGGCAACACTTAAGTTTAACTTTGCGTCCTTGACATTGTTCAGTTTATCGTGAAGACTTCCAATTGAATACAAACGTGTTTTAAATGCACTCTTGTCAAACATTCACTTTTGGGCCTGGACAGACAGGGGGACGTACTTAAATCTTATTTTAAAATTTCAATCTACATCTGAATATCGGATACTTTGACTTGGAAAGCTATCACTGTGCCAAAAAAATATTATTAAATCCTACCCTTTTGTTATTTCCAAGCATCTTAATTAAAACCATTTTGAAGCTATTAAACTTTATATTTGTTAAATGTTTATATATTTCAGACTTCATACCATGGCTGTTGTTCATCGTAAGTATTAAAACTGTATTAAACAAACTTGTTAGAAATACACAGACCTTGGTTTATCAAGTGCTATTATAGAACTTAGACTTAGAATAATTTAACACATCAGTTGCTATATTCAACATGCTATCTTTGTGTACAAAGTTTACTCTGTATTGACTTATTATTTATGATGCCACTAGTCTGTGACATGGATTTGTAACCGCTGTTGTATTAATTGCACAACTAAGCGTGGTCGAGAGGCCAAGTGCGCTTGGCTTGGCTACCTAGAAGGGGGCTCGAGGTTCGACACCCGACTCGGGCAGAGTTGCGTTTACTGAGCGCCTAAAGGCAGCATGGAAAACCAACTCCTAGATACCCCCTAGCCCCCCCCCCCCCCCCACCGGTCAACAAATGAGATTGGACCAAAAGCGCTCTGAGCATGCTATAAACATGAAAGTAGCGCTATATAAAAGCTATAATAATATAATAATAATAATATCTACTTATAGAACTAGACTTTGATATATATTGTTTGTTATGAATTACACACACACATACCCACATACACACATACACACATACACACATACATACATACATATATTTGAGGGACTGAAGTCTGATGAGCAACAACTTTATGTACAAGTCACACTTTGCATATACGGGGTATATAAACATGCGGGTTTTACTATTTTGTTTTCACTAAGTTATTTTGTAATTTGTGCGGGGTATGCGTGTTATATTCGGGAAAATAAGTTACAAGCGAACACTGATTCCTGTATAGTGTTGAGTATCAATAGAGAGCTCTGGTAACATACTTACAAGTACCTATATAGAGCTCTGGGAACACACATTCAAGTATCTATGGAGAGCTCTGGTAACATACTTACAAGTATCTATGGAGAGCTCTGGTAACATACATACAAGTATCTATGGAGAGCTCTGGTAACATACATACAAGTATCTATGGAGAGCTCTGGTAACATACATACAAGTATGAAGTATCTATAGAGAGCTCTCTGGTAACATACATACAAGTATCTATAGAGAGCTCTGGTAACATCAATTGCGATCAGATCATTCTACTGCATCCACAGGGAACCAAAACTCGAGACTTTCACCACTTTGTCAGACCCACTGGGTACTGCTGTGAGTTTAGTTCAAGTAGGACAGAGAAGTCAATACTTTCCTACAGAAACTTGCAGGTAAATTAATTATATCTAATTGCTATATGTATATAGATATAGATAGATAGAAATAACAGACACAGACAGACAGACAGACAGATAGATAGATAGATAGACAGATAGATAGATAGATAGATAGATAGATAGATAGATAGATAGATAGATAGATAGATAAATAGATAGATAGATAGATAGATAGAGAGAGAGAGAGAGAGAGAGAGAGAGAGATACTAATTTTACAAATTTAATGTTATATTTAGAAAGCAATATACTGGGAATATATAAGTCTTTCTTGGTACAATCAATGAGCGCGCACACACAGACATCTGCTCAAACATATTGATAAATGATATTGCTTATGTTCTGGTTATTTTCCAAGGAAGAGGACTTTCATTTGGAAGATAAAAACAATAATAATTTTTTTTTTCATTCATTAAATTAATAACGTTTCTAAGAAAGTAACTTTTTAATGAAAACTCGGAAGAGAAATGTCTATAAAAAAATCAAGGAAAATATAACAAATTCTGTGAAAAAAAACAAACAAGGCTTATTTTGATTGAAGGGGTAGCACCATTCAATCGTTGCGATATCGCTAAAAATTACATATTGTATCCTTCCTTTTTCATGCATGATTGTATATACCTCAAAAATTAAATAACTAATTTTTTATATTTTTTTAATTGATTCGTGTGTTGTCATGGACAACGAGTAATCATGCCGAATTTCCCCTTCATCCGAGAATGGGAAGTGGGAGAAAAAAAAGGTGTAAAAGAATCACCCAGACAGACAGACAGACAGACGGAGTGAGTCAATATAAGGTTTGTAATAAAACGGTGTATGTAATTTAGCGGTGGAGCGGAAATGTACTAATAGATTCTGTAATTGTAATCATTTATCAACAATGTTGTATCTCTCCAGAAAGGAACTCAACTGTTTGACCTGTCAATGTTCTTGTACTATGGTGAACCAGACGTTGACTGCGCTGGTCTTTAAACCTGGCTCAACAAGGGAGATAATGTTCAGCTTCGTCCAAGTCCCCACTTTCTGCAGATGTATGAACAACTTGACCTGAGAGAAGACTGCAGACAGAAGATGAGGCTGAAAGAGGCTAGCATACCAATGCACCGGACTTTCAATTATAACAAACCAATGCACTGGGCTTCCACCTCCAAGACCGAAATGCTAAGTTTATATGAATGCGACATTAGTTAAAAATTAAATTGCTTGCAACTCATAGTTTACGCGATCCGTCCAATTACCCGTACCGTCAAGATTTAATTAGTCGATACTCTTTCAATAAAGTAGGGAATTCACTCAAACCTTGTAAATATTTAAAAACCTTAGCTGTATAGAAGGAGCAAAGAAAAAAACAAAACTTTTGAAACATTTTTATTAAGTTATTATGATAACTTAATAGATATATTCTTAAGATATGTAACATTTCATTGCCTGACAATAGAGTCAAGTAACAGAATGTTAAAGGTGCTGAAACTCCAAAGATGTATAGATTCAGTTTTCAATATTATTTGAAATGCTTTGATTTGCCACTTTCTTTACACGCGTGTACATCCTGGTTTGGAAAAAAAAAATGTATAGTGAGCAGGTCGGAGCTAGTGTTTTCGTGAATGTTGTACATTTGTCTACTGATGTCTGATGTGTATCTCTGTGATACTTGTGTACTGATGTCTGATGTGTATCTCTGTGTTACTTGTGTACTGACGTCTGATGTGTAAAAATGTGTTACTTGTCTACTGATGTCTGATGTGTATATCTGTGTTACTTGTCTACTGATGTCTGATGTGTATCTCTGTGATACTTGTGTACTGGTGTGTGATGTGTATCTCTGTGTTACGTCTATTGATGTTTGATGTGTATCTCTGTGATATTTGTCTACTGATGTCTGATGTGTATCTCTGTGTTACTTGTCTACTGATGTCTGATGTGTATCTCTGTGTTACTTGTCTACTGATGTCTGATGTGTATCTCTGTGTTACTTGTCTACTGATGTCTGATGTATATCTCTGTGATACTTGTGTACTGATGTCTGATGTGTATCTCTGTGTTACTTGTCTACTGATGTCTGATGTGTATCTGTGTTACTTGTCTACTGATGTCTGATGTGTATCTCTTGTGATACTTGTCTACTGATGTCTGATGTGTAACTCTGTGTTACTTGTCTACTGATGTCTGATGTGTATCTCTGTGATACTTGCATACTGATGTCTGGTGTGTATCTCTGTGTTATCTTGCAATATTATTCCATTAATTTTGTCTTTGGCTTCTTAATATCATTAAATGTATGACGAAGTCAATAAGATTTATATGTATGTAACCTCATTAATATATATATTTTTAAAAATCTAAATTAAAATTATCTCGAAACATGTCCACGCCGATAAATGTGAGTCGTTGTTTCTTCCCATTTCAATGTTATATGCATTTTGTTTGAATCACTATTTTAAACGTAATTGAGGTAATCATTTGTTTATATATATATATATATATATATATATATATATATATATATATATATATATATATATATATATATATATATATATATATATATATATATATATATACACACACATATATATATATATATATTACATATGTGGGGAAACAACAAGACATTTAATATCAGTGACTTTAAAAAAAAATGTTTTACATGTTTCGAATGTTCCCTCACAAAACTCCAGTAGGACGTCAGGGGATTGAAGCGGGCAGGGTATGAACATGGGACCATCGAGACGACCGAACGCCAGTCCAGGGCTCATACTGCACGACAAGATGGCCAACCATTGAACATGGAAAGTGTCTTTGCTACCTGTAACCACATGTTGATGTATGTCTTATACAAGAGAATCTCTGTTTGCTACCTGTAGCCATATGCTGATATATGTCGTACCATAAAAGAGAGTCCCTCTGTTTGCTACCTGTAGCCACATATTGATGTATGTCGTATCATACAAGAGACACCCTCTGTTTGCTACCTGTAGCCACATATTGATGTATGTCGTATCATACAAGAGACACCCTCTGTTTGCTACCTGTAGCCACATATTGATGTATGTCGTATCATACAAGAGACACCCTCTGTTTGCTACCTGTAGCCAGATGTTATTGTTAATATTATCTCACAACATTAAGGAGAATAACTTTGCTGCACTATCTTTTTCCATTGTGCTGATTCTCGATATATGAGAAAAAAATGCATATGCATGCAAGCTAGGCGGTTCAAAACTATTAATTAAGAACTTCATAGATCGTAAGAAATAGCGTTTTTGTCATGAGACTATATATCTGTCTTGTCTACACTTAATTCCTTGTGACGTTCCTTTGGACGGATATATATAGTGAGACATTATAGAACTAACGTGGCATTTTATATAAACAGCGTGGCACTTTGCATATACAGTATGACACCATAGAAACAGCATGACATTTTATAGAAACAGCATGGTATTTTATAGAAACAGAATGGCATTTTATAGAGACAGCATGGCATTTTATAGAAACAGCATGGCATTTTATAGAGACAGCATGGCATTTTATAGAAACAGCATGGCATTTTATAGAAACAGCATGGCATTTTATAGAAACAGCATGGCATTTTATAGAAACAGCATGGCATTTTATAGAAACAGCATGGCATTTTATCGAGACAACACTTTAAACAGGATTGTACTTGTGTGATTGCTGAATTGTGTGAGTTTCTGATGTAAGCATCAACAAAACGAGGTTGAATATTTTGTCAGTGTGTTGGGTCCAAAAGCTCGTGTCGTTTTTTTTAAATGAGTTGGTGAACACATCAGACTAAAATTAAATATTGCAAATTCTGACGTTTCCTTTAAAAAAAAAATTGAATATTTCTCTCGCATTTAAAACCAGTTCGTCTACAATAAAAGAAAATGAAATCAGTAAGCTTCTAGAAAACTACAGATAGATACTATAGATAGTAAACAAATACTTTCTCATGTTTCTAGACACAAATCTAAATTTGTCCCCCCCCCCCCAAAAAAAAAAGTAAAGTTCCCTTTCAGGCCTTGCAATCTATAAGGCAAATGATGTAAAAGTCATTTGTTTCTATGGCCTACTGTTGTAGAGAATGCCATGCGGCCAGCATAACGTCCAACCACCTTTCACCCAACTAATGTCAGTCAATCATTAGAGCTGGGTGGACTCAGGGACGCCTCAAAGATCCCGAAACATAAAATCTCAGTCTTTGCCAGGATTCAAACCCGGGACTGCCGGGACCCTCCTGTTCGGTGTTCAAGCGTTTTATCACTCCACCAACGCGCCTCCAAATTTGACTAAAGTAACTCCCATAAGTAGCTCCTCAGCTTCCTCAGGCAATCCTTAACTTCATTGTATTCCCAGAGTAGAAGCACGAGGAAGTGAGTGAAACAGTTTTGTGGACAAGTAAAATGTATAACCTTCGTAATGAGTTGGCGTTTTGTATTGCCGCAACACCAGCTTCAAGTATCGCCTCAAGTTGTCCATCTTGCTTGGTCTCGCTTTGACACATCCACAGTGAGCTATTCTTTAGTACGCGTTGAATGAAGACAGTGTCAATGAAACACAATACTGTAAGTCAGTGTAAGTGATCTCTCTGATGTTCAGCTCATTAACCATTCTGAGAAATGACACTAAGGAGATATATAGTTTTGTTCCCAGGCTTTATAGTTTTTATTTCGGCCGGAACCTCCCCACCTTTTTTTTTCTTTTGCACATCCAATAAAACGTCCCGGATTTTAACGCCCCCCCCCCCCCACATGATACATTTAGCCTATGAATTCTAGTATCTGTTGTGTTGAACTGGATTCTCTCTCTCTCTCTCTCTCTCTCTCTCTCTCTCTCTCTCTCCCCAACTCTCTCCAACTCTCTCTGGAATCCTCCCCTATTTTCTTTTTTGAATCCTGTGCTTCTTGATGGGAACGAGCCGCACTTGAGCCTCACCCCCTTCCACATGCTTCATGATTCTAGACTTGTTAGGACTATAAAACCTTCTATTTATATAAGTACTTGAATAGTTAAGTGGCTAGCGCGTCCGCTTTTCTTTTTCTTCGTGGAGGCTTAGACCTCAAGAGTTAAAATTAAGTCTCGAGCAACTTTAAAAAAAAAATTAATCTCAATACTGCAAGATTTTTCTCCTTTTTGTATAAAACAAGATTGATTAATTACCACTAATTAATTAACTAATTGGTTAATTTTTATTTATTGATTCATGTGTTGTTATAGACGATGAAAAGTTGGTCCGACTATCGGAGAAATAACGTGTACAAGATGCCTCCCAGACAGAGTAAGTTGTTGTTCGCTTTGTAATAAAAAGATAATTGAAGAATCATATTGTGTAGGTTAATAAATTAGTATGAATGTAGTTTAAATGTTAATTGAAAAGAACTATTTCTAAATGAACAAAACCCTTAGTCGTTACATAAATCCATTTCGTAATTTGGACTGCAACAGAAAATCACAAATCTGCAAATGCTGAAATATTCTTTTGTGCGTAAAAAGAGGGAAGTAATTGTGTAAAGCCAATGAGCCTTAGTGTAACGCACTAGTTGAGCGCCCTTGATACAGGGTTAAAAGGGTGCAATTCAATCTAAACCAGACATTTATTTATAGATCAATGCGATACACTTCCAGGCCGACTTAATATGCACATCACGAAGTGCACCTAGAATTTAATTTGGGTGCAACATTAACACCTACACATTGGCTGGTGTAGGTGTAATTCATTTGATGCGTGAACCCTTGATTCATTTGAGCTGTTTGAAATATGTCAGCTCATGAACCCATTTCCGGTTACACGGTAACTGCAGCCATTGGACCTCACGATGACCTGCTAATTATCGTAAAAAAAAAAACGCAAGATAAAATTCTATGGCCACATTACAAGATCTTCGGGGCTAGCAAAGACCTTCCTCCAGGGAACAGTACCAGGGAAAAGAAGAAGAGGCAGACAGAGAAAGTGATGGGAAGACAACATCAAAGAATGAGCGGGCAGGCCACTGAAAAAGGTTCTATCTATGGCAAAAGACAGAGAGGAATAGAGAAGGACATATACGTGCGACCTTAGGTCACAGTGGATAAAAAAAATAACGTCATTATGCCCACTACAAATGTCTAGTGAATGATGTGAAATCTCGACTGTTTGCTTTATTTCACCAAAGCCTATTCATTCCAGTTTATGTAGAAAGATAAAAAGTGAAAAGATGTTATCCTATCCAGTGAACTGATCAGCATATCAATTGCTGGAAACTAGCTTTGAACTCAAAGCGTTTCAGACACTGCGCTCTGGACTATCGTCTCGACGGTCCTTGGTTCGAACCCTGCCTTGCGCCATCTCCCGCCTTCCTGTAGGAGGTTTGAGCTAGGAGTTTAAACTCTTCAGATCTGAACGAACATCCGAAATATGTACCCAAATATTTGTGTTTGTTATGAACAAAACCTAGGCATTATTTTTACTGTCATGAAAACCTATTTTACTTCATGAAAAAATATTATAGTTTGTTTCTCATTTAAAATTACTTATTTACAATGTAAGTTTAAACAATTTCAATAAGGTGTTTGATCCTAATCACTTAGAATTGATATTTAGGACAATAATGGATTGTAGGGTAGAAAATTATGTAGTTTGATTTTCATATACTTGAACAATTAGTATTCAAGAAATGGGGTGTTGGGGGTTACGAATATTTGATATTGTGTTGATTGTTCCGGGCTAGAGGATACTTGTATCAATTTTCTGTTTCTGGTGGTTTCAATGGTCGGGTAGTGTGTCTTTGATATTGAAAAATATCTCTGTTACTATTATTATATTTTTAGGGTTAATCATTTTTCAATTGTTTATGATTTGGTACTTGTGAATTGGTAGAACTTACAAATAAAAACGTATTAAAAAAAAAACAAAAGCCCACAAAAGAGGCATGATGGCCCATAAAAGAGGCACATAAAGCCCAAAAAAGAGGCAAAGAAAAGAGGCCTAAGGCCCAAGGATTCCTATGATGATAAAGCTAAAATTGAATAGCGCAAATTCTGAGGTTTCCTTTAAAAAAAAATCGATAAGTTTTCTATTAAATAAAAATAAATAAAAAAATATATAAACCGGATAAACCTTTGTACAGTGCTCTCAAGGTATTAAAAACAAAACACTAAAATCCAACAAAACAAATTTACTTTCTATTTATAAAAAAAATTTGTCCAAATAGACGTTCTTAATTTTCTTAAGGTCAACTTCCTAAAACAATTCTAAAATTTTAATCCTTTTTTATACTTAGAAAAAAAAGTTCCCCTTCTAGACAATGCGGTGTATAGGGCAGATGATGTTTCTGTGGCCCACTGTTAACGAGGGTGTCATATGGCCAGCACAACAGCAAACCACCTTTACTTTTCCC